GCATGTGACCTGCCTCAAGAAAATGCAGTCTTCAAACCCAGACTCAGCACTCTCAGCCTTTAACGGATGAGAACGCATCCCCCAAGAACATGAAGAATGACTTTGGTTTGCTTTTGTATAAGCAAACGCGTCTATTTACTTCCCACTGGGAAGGTGCCATCTCTGAGAGCAGCCCTCTCAGAAGCATTTTCAGGCATGTCAGAGGGAGAAGGACCCACTAGAACTCAGCACCGAGCCACCCCTGACCAAAGTCCGCAGGGGTGGGGAAGCAAGAGCCGAAGCACTAGGGAGGGTACATACCCAAGGGACAATTGTATGAAGAAAATGTGGAGGAGCTGTTACTTGTTCGGTACTAAACCATTTTCAGGGGACAGAAACACTTGCTACATTTCCTTATACTGATCCGCGGGAATTAACCCAACCATCCTTACAGGCCCTTGAGTAACAGGAGGGAAAGCCTGGCTCCTGGACTTCCTCCCTCTGGGCGCTTCTCACACATTACCTGCAGTGGCCAGGGTAGGAGTCAGAAGTGTAAGGCCTTGCTGGCTGCCCTTGGCCGGTCAAGCTGGAACTCTTGGTTTATTCTGCACATACAGTGTGCAGCTGTAGCAGCAGCACAGACCATCTCAGTGAGCTCTAGCTGCCTCTGCAGGAGGGGCAGCACGCCTTTATTTTATGGTTAGAAAGGCACAAAATTTCTATCAACCTAGCTAAAACATTCCTTTCACTTGTTTCTTTCTTTCTTTTTTTTTCTCTCTCTGTTACCAGGGAGTTTTCCGATTCTCTTCTGGTTGTTGTTTAACAAACACTTTAGCAATGTAATATATTTATATTTTCCCCCCTATTCTGAAGGATTGTTTCTGAAGCAGGAAGTGTGGGACTATCTGAACCATCCTCATAGTGAGTCTTTATGACTGTAAGATTGTAAATACAGATTATTTATTAACCCTGTTCTACCTGGAATTAGATTGCATATGGCAAATGTTTGCGAGCAGGTAGCTGAGGCAGATCACCAAATCTCTCCAAAACCAGTGTGTGGAAGAACAACAGAAGTCGCCGCTTTTCATTTTGGGGCTTAGAGTGAATGATTTGAACTCCTTTGGCTTTTCCCCTTAGTTTTCTCTATCTTGTCAAGTGGAATTAGGTGGCTGCCCATTTGCACGTGTTTCTCCTTGTAAAGGAAGCCATGAACACTCTAAGGCTCGTCCACACCAGCCCTTGTGCGTATTTCCAGGGAGAAGAAAACATAATCACCTTTCTTTTTTTTCTTTTTCCCAAAAGAGACAAAGGTGGAACTTATATACAAATATTACCTCATTTGTTGTGTGACTGGGTAAGAATTTTGGAACAAGCAGAAAGAGTTTAAGTGTCAATAAACTTAAAACTACTGTCGTGTCTAAAAAGTCAGTGTTGTACATAGCATAAAAAGCCTTTGCAGAAGATGATCCCGATAAAGAAATAGCTTTGAAATGTTAAATACAACTTCTCAAAGTTCTGGTTTTGTTCTATCATCTTGTACACCATTGCTTTATTTTTATAAATTATTTTCTCATTGCCATTGGAATAGAGATTTCAGACTATGTAGATATGCTATTTAAATAATTTATCAGGAAATACTGTCTGTAGAGTTAGTATTTCTATTTTTATATGTTTGCACACTGAATTGAAGAAATGTTGGTTTCCTTGTTTTAGTTTGTTTCTTTGGTTTTGTTTTTTGTTTTTGCTTTTTACTCCCCAGTTTTTACTATTTGCCAATACCCTTTTTTTTCTAGGAATGTGCTTTTTTGTACACATTTTTATCCATTTTACATTCTAAAACAGTGTAACTTGTATATTACTGTTTCTTATGTACAAGGAACAACAATAAATCATATGAAAATTTATATTTATACTTATTGTGTCCATGTTTATTTTGTTCTTTACTATCTGACTATTATGAGGTATGGGCAAAAGTCATTCTTAACCAATAGCATACATATATATAGCATGGCAGGAAATAGCATTCATGGTTACTGTGTGGTTGACAGACACTAGACTCAGAAAACACATTTACTATATTTTTAGAAGAAAAAAAAAGCATGGGTCTGCCACATGAAAACCTTAAAATAAAAATGGCCCTTGAGTCACAAGTTCCCAAAGAAAACATTTCATATTTTATTAATATTAGGTGTCTTGTGTTGAATCCTCAAAGTCCAGTTGTTTCTAAAAAGGAATAGTGGCGACAAAGGAAAGTTCAGCTGTGAGAACATGTGGCTTTTTCTGACCCTAAGTGATAGAGCAGGATCACAGAATAGCAGCTCTCAGAGAAGTGTGACTGAGGAGCTGTCCCGAGGTTTAGCCTAGTGCTCAAGACAATAGTTTGCAGAATACACACTTTGGGTCAAAAACAGGGCAGTAAAGAAATGCAAAACTGGGGCTAAAGAGATGGCTCAGCAGTTAAAAGGCTTAAAGTGTCTGCTACTCTTGCAGAAGACCCTAATCCCAGCATCCCATGGGGGCAGCTCACCATCACCTGTAACACTACTGCCAGGGGATCTGATGCCCTCTTCTGGCCTCTATAGGCACCTGCACTCGCATTCACAAACACACACATACACAAACACACACACATTTTGATCATTTTGTTACAGCAATGCAAATTTTAGAAAGTATGTATGTGAGTGTGAAAACTCACTCACAATCCTACACAAACACACACACGAACACATGCATGCATGCACACCATTTTGATCATTTTGTTACAGCAATGCAAATTTTGGAAGGTATGTACGTGAGTGCAGAATTATTCAGTGAAGAGAAAACACTATCCTGTTCAAATTCTAAGCAGACTTTGAGTCTTGGATGGATTAACCATGGATGTGGAGACCCAACTAACTTCTAATAAACAGATCAATGAAGACATCCTACTAGGTGAAAGATGGCTTTGAGGTTGGGGAAACACTAGGAAAGATTGGTTGTGTGCGGTGGAATCTGCCTCCTGACCAGTGATCTCTAATGTTGTAGAACCACTGACCTGGGTGGCATGGTGACAAATATGAAGTGCCCCCATCACCTTACAGAACCACGGTGAAGCAGGGTGAACCAGCAGGTGATGAGAAAGTGACCTGACAGTAATAACCATTTGAAATGTGGCACCAATGCCTCCCAGGCTGCTCCATATGTGGATTTCTGGAGGAGAATTCTATTTAATTTTTAGCAAAATGCTGCAGCAAAACTGATGGAGAATGCCAAGATGAGGCAGAAAAGGTGGCCAGATCAGAGCTTTTAGGCCAGACTTATTCCATTTCACTGTAAGAACGACCTTCAAGACAGTAGGTTATACAAGATTAAAGACTTGTTAAAAACTAGAATTACACCATCAAGAGGATAGATTTTTGACTCATATGGGAGTTTATTGCCATGTGTTCTGGGACTGTTTGGCTGAAAGGCCATAAACTGGGTCCTGGAAAATTTACAACCAAGGTGGTGTTGGTGGCTTACTAAAGAGTCCTGTCTAGAAAAACTATACTACAGCCCCTAAATTTTTTCCTAAAGTGCTTTCTCTCATCTCTTCTCTCTCCTCTCCTCTCCTCTCTCTCTCTCTCTCTCTCTCTCTCTCTCTCTCTCTCTCTCTCTCTCTCTCTCTCTCTCTCTCTCTTCTCTCTCTCTCTCTGTTTCTCTCTGTTTCTCTCTCCCTTCCTCCTTCCCCTCCTCTCTCTTTCTCGCCTATCTCTCCTATAATTTTTATTCTTGTTCTGAAGAAAACACCCCAGCTTACTAGAAGCCAGAGTGGTGCGGTGTGGTGTGGTGTGGTGTGGCTTGGTTTGGTTTTAAATCAGAAGACTTCCTGTTAAATTATACTGTATATCTTGCTTATCCACCCTTGCCACTTTCAGCTGGCATGCTGTGAAATGATGTTATTCCCTTTCATTAAAACGTTCATTTCCAAATGTCATTATCTCCTTCCCCCTAGCTGGGCTCCCTGTGCCTCAAACACCATCTGCAGAAGCCTTCTATAAAGTCATAAGCCTGTGCAATTCCCATAGAAATGGTCTCTTTTGTGTTTCTCTCTTAGCTTGCCTCCTCTCTCTCCTCTCTTTCTGTGTCTCTGTCTCTCCATTCACCCCTCTCATACACATAGCTCAAAGAAATGCATGGATGCAGAAAGCTTGAATTCTTCTGACAGGCTGGTGGGCAATAATGACTTCTGTCTGTCCCACCCCAAGTGACCACATGCCACCTCTGCCCTCTGATTGTTCCCATCAAACTCTTCATTACCCAGGAGTGCCACAAATCATTCTGAGAGAACCAAAACTTGGGAATTAAGATAAATCACACTGTAGTACATGAACATCAGTGTGTGCTATTGCTATTTTAAATAGATAAACAGTAGGCTGGGGGTGTGGTTTGGTGGTAGAGTGCCTGGCTGGCGTGTGCAAGGTCCTGTGTTCAATCCTCTGTACTTCAAAAACAAAATCAACAGAAATGAACAAACAGCAGGCTGAAACAGGAAGACAGGATAAAGACATCCATATGAATATGGATGCCTTTGAAAATAGTAGCTATAGAATTCTTTTTTTTTTTTTTTTTTTTTTTTTTTGGTTTTACGAGACAGGTTTCTCTGTTTTGGAGGCTGTCAGTCCAGCCTGGCCTCGAACTCACAGAGATCCGCCTGCCTCTGCCTCCCGAGTGCTGGGATTAAAGGCGTGCGCCACCAACACCTGGCACTATAGAATTCTTCATTTCAACAAGTCAGGAAAATATGTAAGCAGTCATTAATGTCAAGCAGGGCCAGCAAGCAAAGGTGTGCTGGCAAAAATGAACAATGCTGTACACGCAGTGTTCCAAACTGTATTAAAGTCAGGGCCACACCCATCTTATTATGAATTAGGAATGATAAACTAGTCTTTCACCTATGAGGCCAACTCAACGTACACGTGTGTCCATAAAAGCTCACGAGATCAGAGTCCTGATTCAGAACTGGACAAACATTTTCTCTTGAAATAGTGCTACAGACTTTCTTTTAATAAGGTTCACCTTTATTTCCTGGATGTTAAAAGGCTCACACTCCAGAAGAACATAACAAACTGAGAGTAATAAATAATTCATCACATCGTAACTTCAGGAAGGTATCATCTGGCTCAGTGGTTAAAAGCACTGGCTGCTCTTCCAGAGGACCCAGGTTCAGTTCCCAGCACCCACATGGCAGCTCACATCTGTCTGTAACCCCAGTTCCAGGGGATCCAACTCCCTCACACAGACATACATGCAGGCAAAATAACAATATATATCAAATAAATAAGTTATTTTTAAGATATACTTATTTTAAAAAAAAAGAAAGGAAGGAAGGAAAGGAAGGGCATCACCACTAACAAGAGAGCAGGCCCTGCTGACTTTCCATAGGTGTGGGAACACATTTCTTCCCATGATGAGCTGGACTTACTAACAAACATTAGACAGGCAGGCCCAGAGAAGAGAAAATGAGGCAGAACATAAAACCATGGTGGCTACAATCCCACCTGAATCACAAAGAGTTGAAGCATGTAAAGCCCAATGCAGTGGGCTGGAGATACGACTTAGTGACAGAGTATTTGCCTCTGATGCACAAGACCCTGAATTCAGTCCCCAGCACTGCCCCCAAAACGATCAAATTGAAAGCAATAAGCTCCTAGCCACTAGACTTAACACAGTGTGTGTGTGTGTGTGTGTGTGTGTGTGTGTGTGTGTGTTACAATGTTGGTTTTTATAAAGTATCCTTGAGCTAGCAACATTAGTGATACATTTGTAAACAATTTTCACAGGAATTACAATGAATAAAAACCAGCAAACATTTACACCCCAAATTTCAAAATAATCAAAGGAATGTAATCAGCAAAGAAGGAATTCAAATGTTGAAATCTTTAAGGAATAGGCTCTATGATGCATTCATTGAATACAAAGAATTCAGGAAAAAAAATATATAGTCCAACTTGGTTTCCAACTTTCTTAAGCTTAAACCCCAGAGAGTCCTGCTTCACATTCCTCTGGTTCATCCACCGCCTCTCCAGTCTCCTGTTCATCTGCTAATAAAATAGCCACAGTGATTATATAATCAAAAACACATGCATAATTAAGAAAACTCACTGCATCTATTAAGTATTTGGTCATTCATTCTTCTATATAATATGAAGACCAGAACCTGTTTGCTATTATTGAATTGTCACTACAAACTGCAGATGAAGTCCATGAAGGGAAAATGTGTCTGTCTTTACTAGGGTTGTAGTTCAGAAAACAACTGAGGGTTGAAAGATTGAAGATTTAGGGGAAGACATCAAAATCACATTTTTGCTTTCTACTAAGTTTATGAGGAGTAGGCTGGAGCCAAAGGTAAATGCTACATGTAGGGCAGATGAGGCCCAATTGCCTTTTTTTCTCTTAAAAGACAGGGAAAAAATATTTCACCAATGGAACATATTTTTCTACCTTCGATAGAAAAGTTAGCCAAGAAAGGTAGAACCACAATGAAATCAAATAAAAGAAGACAATAAAAGAGGAATCAGGAGAAAGTTGTAATCAAAAACTGTCTGCCAATTCCTCAAAAAATTACCATTGGCCTGGAAATTCCACTCTTATGTATATGCCCGAGCTGGGAGGAAAACATATGTCCAACAAAAACTCATATGTAAATATTTATATCAGCATCATATATAATAGCTGAAAAGTGGGTAGGGCCCAAGGGCTCATCAACTAATGAACAGATAAATAAAATGGGCTATATCAATACAAGGGAATATTACTCAAGTAAAAAGAGCAGAGCAGGGATACATGCTGCAAGATGGGTAAATCTGGAAAACTCCACGCTGTATAGAAAGCAGTCACAGAAGGGTGTGTATTATAACGCCACCTACAGGAAATACTCAAAGTATGCAAATTTACAGAGGCTCTAAGTAGAGAAATGTAGTGACAGTGTAGCAATAAAGAAGTATTAGACAAGATGCAGAGGGAGCTGAGACAGACAAGGAGGAGACTATAGCATCACATGCATGCCATGTGCTTTGTAAGTTTGAGTTCTCTGGGAGTCAAACCCCACCCCGTAAAGAGCTATTACCCTTGGGGGCTGACCTTTACTTCTACCTCCCATCTCCTCAGCATTCATTGTTTCTTCTGTAATGTCAGCTGACTCAATACTGATTCAGATTTTGAGTCTAAGTGGTTAAAGAAACAGGAATCAGGAGAGAAATGTGAGTTAAGAGGGAAAGATGAAGAAATGGATATGGGGTTGTAAAGTTGCCAGGCAGGCAGTTAGAAACATGGGATTTGGCTGTTAGTTCAAAATCAACCAATCATAGACCTCAAAGGGAATAGACAGACAGACAGATGGTAGATAGATAGATAGATAGATAGATAGATAGATAGATAGATAGATAGGTAGGTAGGTAGATAGAGTTTTAGAGTAGACTACATTAGAGATTAAATTTTAAATTGTTTAAATAGGCTCACAAATTATGATATCAATTTCTGACCTGTATAAGCAATTGAATATTTATGTTAAAAACTACCCATAATGCTTTTCTCTTGTATAAGCAATTGAATATTTATGTTAAAAACTACCCATAATGCTTTTCTCTTGTGCCATCGTACTACTATAAAATGTAAGACTGAACCATGGCATCATGTATGGAAACATAAGAGTGGTTTCTAGGCAGATATTTTACATCTGAGTATGGTATTTTACAAACCCATTCCCTGAAAGAAAAATCACTAAAGTTTGGAAGTTGAGATCTTTTTAAATTACTTATCACCATTCAAAGTACTTTTTTCTCTAAAATCAACACTGTTTTCTGGATGACAGAATTATAATGAAGGATAATACACTCATAGGAATGTTAACTTCTCCTTGACCTCTTAAGAATATTGATAAATCCACGCCTAGGTTTGCAAACTCCTATAGACAGCACTGGGGCTTACATTGCATGTACATCACAGCATCCATGTCTACTTTAACTCACAATATCTTTATGTTGAGATGATTCTGAGAAATAGTCACAAAACACATGCTCTCCAGCCTACCTACTGCTGGTTCATCTGGATGGCTGAGTTTCAGCTGCTGGTCATCTGAGAAGGCGTTTACATTGATGTCATCCAGGGGATCATCCAAGAACAGGGGCTTTTTCAGTCTCCCGATTCCAATGGTCTTTGACATAAAATAGTCTGCTGCATCATTGAAAGCCCCCTCCTTGGAGAACTGGAGGCCTTTCATGGCCTCCACTTCAGTGATGAGAGCTTCTGGTTTGTAGTGCCCAGCCAAGGCTTTGGTGAGATAGGAGCCTACAGCATGTCCACATCCCTCGTTCTCAGGCCTGTTTGCATCATCTAGCTGGGTTTTCTGGACCTTGACTTCGGACTCATCTAGCAATCCACAGAGGGTGGATGGGCAAAGCTGTGGGGGCCCAAGTGGTGCATCAATAATTTCATCTTCTCTTTCAGAAGAAAGGCAAAGAGGGATGCATTTCTGTTGGGATACACACTCCTCCAGAAGACACTTGAGCTGTTCCTCAGACAGACGTAATGTGGAATTTAACTGAGAAAGCAAATCAAAAGTTTTCATAGTCAATTGGCTGATTAAACATGTTTGTTCTGGGTAAGCTTCCAGGAATACAATAGAACTTCAAGGGTCAGGAAAGCCCACATCCAACACATGCAAACAGAAAACTAAGTTGTTTTGAAATATCCAAATCTGTAGGAGGCTAAATAGTAACCTACAGAATAAATTCAGAATCAGTTGTACACAGGAATCTGGAGGACAGAATTGTACAACACTGATACAGATGAACCACCACACCAATCCCCCTAACACACAGAAACAACTGAAGCTGAAGCTGAAGTAGCTCCCGTTGGGTCACCAGGAAAGGAATCCTACCATAATTTCCCGTCTGAATTCCTTTGTCTCCACCCAGTCCTCTATGGGAGCCACATAGCACTCAATTCTGAAACTGGGGGAAATCAGGACCACTTGTGCTCCCCCCATCCCATGGAATTCACTATTCATGTGTCTGTCCACAGCTTTCAGTAGACAATACTGCTGAGGACAGAAAAGGAAGGCTGAAGGTGTGTCCCATCCTGAGATGTGGAGTTGCTTCAAAAGCCCTAGCCTAGGCAGATGCCAGGGGCATTCCAGGAGTAGCACATTTGGGTAGAAAGATTTGATCACATGTACTCAGTCTCCACTTGCAAAGATTATCCAGGACTGAGTGTTTTAGACAAGACATGAATTTAAAAACACTTTTTTCCTAACAGTCATGTGCCACCACACCTAGTCTATACAGCACAGACTTGAACCCAGGACTCTGTGCATGCTAGGCAAGCATCCTACCCACTGAGTTACAGAGTGGTTTGTGTGCATTGACTGTGTGAAACTGTCTAAAAATAAATGTAATTAGCATTAGAAACACACATTTTTCCTCCAGGGATGTTCTGAGGAAACACAAAAATGAAACAGTTCAAAAGGAATGGTTTTCCTTCAATGAAACACATTGAAAAAGTGCCCTCCTCCAATAGGTTGTCATTTAAAAACATGGAGGAAAACACTAGCTCGTTTGCATGCCTGACAACAAAAAGGCCCCCATAAGAGAGCTTACTCATCAATTGCAAAGGCCATAACTTCTACCTCAGCAATGCTTTTCACCTACTGTGAAAATACACAAAGAAGGGATGAGAGATCTCTGTGAGAACAAGGCCAGCTTAGTTACATAGTGAGTTCCAGGCTAGCCAGAGTTATATGGTACAACCCTGTCTCAAATCAAAAAAATAAAAAATATAAAAATATAAAAATTCAATAAAATAAAAACCCAGTGGCAATCACCACTGTAGGTTTGACAATAATAAGAAATTTTTTCTTAGTGATAATCTGGGATACAATTCAGATAGCTTAAGCTGAAGTTAATATACATGTGAAGAACGGGAATTGAATTGTAAAGCAGCAAGTCCTATTTTTAACATATAACTTCCAGAATCCAGATGTGGTACTGTTGCCACTTCAGGGCACTACCTTCACCCTCCTATATAAATCTAATCAGCTGAACAGCGAAGGCAGCCCTAGTGCAGCAGCAGGTGCATAAATCTACCTTCCAAAGTCACTGACATAAAACTGTTTATAGTATGGGGACTTCCAGCTGAGTTCAGAAAGAACACACTACATAAACATCCTCACAAAACACTTGTCATTATGAAATTGTCAGACAACAGGACAATTGGCCCCCGTTGGAGCAGGAGAATAAAGGATTGTAGAAGTGGGGTCTCTGGGGTAACAGGTGGGAGAGGGAATTGGGAAGTTATCTGCTATGTTTGATTGTTTCCAAGAGTGACTCTGATAGGCTAGAAACTTGGAAATTCTGACAATGGACTTGGCTAGAAGAGCAAAGCAATTATGAACTCTGAGAGGAAAGCAAAACATTTTATAAAAATGAAGGATATAGAGTCAAACATACATACAGGTGGGGGAATAGTGACAATAAGCAAAAGAAAAATAACTCCCATTTCCAACAAGACCTTGGAAATGGAGAACTGAAGATGCTCTCTCAACTAACTTCTCTGGAATTGTTTCATAAACAGCTATCATTTTAAAAAGAGACAAAGGGCAGAAATGCTGGTCAAGGGCAGGGAGGATTCTTCATGTGCAAATCTCCGGGTTCAATCCTCAGTGCCACCAAAATACAAAGAGAAACATTTGAAAGCAAATAAAGAAACACTTCCCTGTTGACACAGGAGAGCAGCCTGGCTATGAGTACACAAACAATTTTAAAAATAGAGCTTGTATTCTTTAGCCTCTCCACAATACAAAGGTGAACTGTTATAATTCTTCCTCTAAAATAGTACCAGCAAAAGTGAATAAAATATAGTAATCTTGAAAAGTTAAATTAATTCAGTATTTCTGGGTGGCCGTGTAAATCAGAAAATACCATGTGACCCACTTTTCTTATCTTCTGGTTCCCAATAGAGTGTTGCCCACAGAAAAACTCAATAAATGTCTATAGTGGGAATCAGATAAGTGAAGGAAACCCAGAGTGTTTGGAACATGCTTTATTGCATAAGCTGCTTAAAATTTAGCTTCCAATCACAGATGCTAGCCTGGACTACACTCAGGCTCTGTATAGCCATCCCTGACCATGATGGCCATGGTTTCGTTCAAATTGTTTATGACATTCCTGAGCCAGTGAGCTCCATGGCTGACCCACTCGATGTGAGTAGTCAAGGAACCTGCTCAAGTATTCACCTCCAAGAATCCACCATCATGGTCCTCCAATCACCACACTTTCATAAACTGGCCATGCTTGCCATTCCTGCCCAACCAATGCACCCAAGCTTCATTTGCTACCACTGAGAGCGAAAGAAAGCCCCTCTTCCCATCTTCATTTTAGCTGGCCTTTCATTAGTCTTCTTTCCTTTTATTTTTTAAAGTTTTATACACGTATATACTATACTTTGAGGATATTGCCCATGTGGGTCCTCTCTCCTTCCTATCTTTGTTCCCCTAAGCTGTTTTACTTCTACTTTTATATCATAGCTCCCTCTCTCTCTCTCTCTCTCTCTCTCTCTCTCTCTCTCTCTCTGTGTGTGTGTGTGTGTGTGTGTGTGTGTGTGTGTGTGTGTGTGTGTGTGTGTAAGAGTCACAGAGAAATCAACCAATATTTGCCTGTCTCAGTCTGGCTAAATTCACTCCATATGATTATCTCCAGTTTGCATCCATTTTCCTGCAAACAACATAGCTTTGTTCTTTACAGATTAAAAAAAAAGCCCCACTGAACATATATATAAATTTTCCTTGCCCACTCCCCTGTTTTTGGACACCTAGGTTGGCTCCATACCTTAGCTACTCTGAGCAATACTACAATAAACACTGCTGTGTGAGTATCTCTGTAATACATTAAACCAGATGCTTCTGGATTCCTTGGCCACCCAGGAATGATACAGCTGAGTCATATGGGATATCTATTTTGAGAACCCTCCATCCCGACTCTCAGTTGCCACACCAATTCAGATCCCCACCAGCAGTGCATAAGGCTCTCTTATGTCCACATCCACAGCATTTACTGCTGCTTATTTTCTTAAGTCTGCCACTCGGGTGGGGTGAGATGGAATCTTGATGTAGTTTTGATTTGTATTCCTCTGAAGTTACATTGCTAATGAGGTAGAACATTGACTCGCGTTTATTGTATTCTGTCTTCTGAGAACTGTCTGTCCATTTCCTTAGCCCATCTAATTGGCTGGGTTGTTTGTTTTGTTGTTCAGCTTCTGGAGTTCTTTGTATAGACTAGATATTAATGCTCTGTCAAGTGTGTAGCTACTGAAGAATCTTTCCCACTCTGCGGGCTGCCTCTTTACTCAGTGCTTTCCTTTGCTGCACACCTTTTCATTTCACGGGCCCCACTTTTGACTGTTGAGCACTAGGGTCCTGGTGAGAAAGCACTTGCCTGTGCCAATATCCTGAACTATTTTCTCTGCTGTTTTCCCCTAACACTTTCAGAGTTTGGGGACTTAAACTAAGGCATTAGATTCTTTTAGAGTTGGATTTCGAGCATGGCGGAAGACAGGAATGTAGTTTTATTCCTCTACATCGTTCTATCCAGTCTTGTATTGTTCTCCAGCTAGTATATAATGTTGGCTACAGGTTTGTCATGGATAGCCTTTATTTTGAGATGCATTCCTTCTATTTCTTGTCTCTTTGGGACTTTTACCATGAAGAATTGTTGGATTTTGTCAAGAAGCCTTTATGCATGTATCTCGATGGTCCTGTGATTTGCTTCATATTGTTTCTATGACATATTACATTTATTGATTTGCATATGTTGACCCACCCTTGCATCTCTGGGATGAAAGCAGCATCACTGTGATGGATGGCATTTTGATATGTTCCTGAATTCCATCTGCTGGCATTTTACTGGTGATTTTTGCATCTGTGTACTCCATGAAATAATGAAAGATGGAGTGCTGTCAAACTCTGCTTGCCAAGTCAGATTCATCCTGATACCATTGTTCCACACTTCTGCTTGTTGTTGTGTCTTTGTCCACTCTTGGTATCAGGATGATGCTGACTTGTAAGCAGAATTTGACAGCACTCCATCTTTCATTATTTCATAGAGTAGTTTGAAAATGGTTGGTGTAAGTTCATCTTTAACAGTCTGGTGGAATTGAGCAGCAAATCTCTCTGACTTTTAATTTGTCTAGGTGGGAAATTTATTACTTTTCAATCCCATTGTTATAGGACTGATACTTTTTAACCCATCTTTTAGATTTAACCCATCTTTAGTACATTATAAGTTTTTAAGATATATCCTAATAGCTTTCTGAATTTTGCTGGTATTGTTGTACTGTCTGTCCTTTCATCTCTCCTCTTATTGGTTGGGCTCTCTCTTTCATTTTGTTGATCTTGGTCATCATTCCAAGAACCAATTATTCATTTCATTAATTCGGCAATTCTCTTTTTTCATTCCTAGTCCATTAATTTTCACGCTGATCTCATTTCTGTCACTGCTTTGGGTTTTTCCTTGTTCTTATTTTCCAAGGGCACTAATGTGCAATGTT